TTTTAAAACTTTCTACTCCCTGATAAAACTTTCTTATAATATATAAAACTTCCTGTCTTTTAATACTTCCATATCCTTTACTCAAAATACTGTATATTTAAATACATATTGAATTTCTTTCACAATAAAAACACCAAAAGCAATCCATTTCACTTATTGTTCGTAAAATAAATTAAAGTGTTATTTTGCATATTAAAAAAGAAAAAAAAAAAGGGGGATCAGAGGAAATGAACAAAATATGGTAAAGAATGTGCTGGCTATGAGTTGGGGTCAGACATGCTGCCAGTCTATTTTATGGACTAAGTATTACAACTTAGATTAAGTGAACATGGACAAAGTTCCAATTATGTGTCAATGAAAAAAATGGCCGATCAAATCACTCTTATGTAAATTTTGACCATGGAATGGTTCTGATTTAAACCAAATGTTCTGCAAAAATCTTTTTAAGGGTTTGGTCACCAGCTGCTATGTTTTGCTGCAAACTTAAGTCCATTTCTCTGGGTAAACACAAGTCAAACCAGAAGTCAAGCTGAATTACATTATGCTCTCTACATATTTTTTAGACAAAAATACTGGCTGAGTGGCAAAGCTTAAAATTTTGTTCAGACCATGACAGGTATTTCAACGGCTGAAAATTCAAAAACAAGTAACTGGAAAAAATGCTGGCCACCAGCATTTCTAGAGAGCACTGATTAGAGGCACATTTAAATAAAAAATTTAACCATTCAAAATATATTTCTCTTTATAAGTTGCCGTAGTCTCACTCCATTAACTGATCTGTCTTATCAAACGCAAAAAAAAAATGCTTTACACCCTATACAGTTTATAGGTGAACATTCCCTTTAAGAGAAAAACACACATACCCCATACACTTGTGACTGTTGTAAATGAAATGAATTTCTGACTAAGCTCTTAGAATCTTTAGAGATATAATATTCATGCAGTCAATACATGTATTGACATGCTACATTTACATTGATCCAGAAAAGAAATTTTTTTACAACCCAATTGCAAAGAAAATAGAAAATAAAAAGAAAGTAAAAACATGTTAGTTAAAATAATAACAGTTATTGTTCTAACGCAATTTCTATAAAGCATAGCAATACACATTCAAAGTTCGAAACTACCACGTCAGAAGAGAAGTTAGTCATGCAAATAAGTTTATGATCAGAATTGAAAAAACCATTAGGCGCAGCAAAAATAAGTTTTGATTTGCGTTTAGCATTAAAAGGTCACCTTAATTACAGACTCATTCATTTCCAAGTTTAAATTACGCCTTGAAAACACCAAAGCCGATCAAGCTGCTCGCTTTGTTTGCTAAACAAAAGTTAAATAGGGAAAATCTATCTCGTCGTGTAGCTGATGTATCTTCATAGAATTTAAAGCTTAGCTTAGCACAATACAATTTCATTTGAGAGCTTTACCTGTGAGTTAAGTAACAGATTTGCCGATATAAGTGATAAAAATCTGTAACCCACTTTGAATCGCGTTTATTTTTTAACTGATAGGAAGCAGTCAAAATATAAAAGAAGGAAATTACAAATGGAAGCATTACGGGCAAACAAATTCAAATGCATTCGGGTGCAAATAAATCATATCGTGACATGAATTCAGTTTGATATCAATTTTTTATGCATAACACTCGTTTTATTTTCAGTTTCTTGCAGTAAGAAATAGTTATCGAAATCCGCAACAATTTTTACTGAAGAAATCAATAAATCTGTAGTCAAATATCGGAAAAAGGAAACAAATCAAATTCAATAGCAGAAGCGGAACTCTCAGAGTTGGGGTCAACTACATTCGACATTTTCAATTCCAAAACAAATTTAAAAGCTCAGAGAACAAATTTCTGAATAAAAAATTAACACCAGCAAGCTCGTAATCGCACCCCATAACTTAAAGATGCGAAATTAAATATTTATTTACCCGTTAGTGAGTCGTTAAATTTGATGCGAAACCTGAAAATCTACACGTAATATATCAAGGGAAAAATACAGGCCGCTTAGTTTAACTAAAACGTTACGACTGAAAAGCACAGCATGTAGGCAAAATACCTAACTCGAAACAATCTCGCAAATGATTTCCTGTACCATCTAAGTATACATTCAAGCTTTTCTAATCATTTATAACTACCACAAACGACATGAAAGTGTTCAACCCAACCTGTAAGATCTGGACTTGGCTGCACGTCGATGCAACCTATTTTCTTCGGCTTTTCCTTCATCTCCTCCAAATCTGTTTAGCGAGCTCTTCGTGTCTCGCTTCCCGCGGTCACCAGCGGCGGCCATTTTACATCAGCCGGTCTTAGAGACCACTAGAAGTCAGCATGGTGAATGCGTCACTATTTCGCCATTCTAACCCACAAAAGTGGAAAAGCCTCAAGTAAATACTATGCAAACTTGCGCCCTAAGATTGTTGACAAAGTCAAACCGAAATGTGTTGAGCGCTTGCAAAGTATTGTGGGTTGTGTGTGGGCGTTCAGAACAGAAGGGAGACCTGCTTGATTTACACGAGTTTCCTTATTGGTAAGACACTTTAATACGAATGTTTCTAGGCCGGTAATGTATTAATTTTCAGTCTGCTAAAAAGATAGACAAACCTTTTTCTTTTTCTTTTTGAGATTTTTATAAACCTAAATCTGCAGATTATGAGAAGATGCGGTAAACACTGAAATTTCCGTATCTTCAAAGTGGTTGATTTTTCCTATCTGTACTCTCAGTCACCAATATAAATTCCTTTTTAATTTTCAATAAACATGCAAGTTTTGAAAATTGGAATACATCTTTCACCCCTAATGTGCCCAATGAATTCGATTAAACTGAATACCTGGCAAAAACTCCATTGTTGAGACGTGCAAAATATGATGAATTAATTTGGTTTCAATGAAATATTAACAACTGTACATATTAAGGGTCCTCGCATCATATTGATGGTAGTCAGTGCGGTAAATGTCGTCGCCACTGAATAACTACAATAATTTGAATTCACACATTTCTACAAAATTTAACTTTTTATCAAGCGGCATATGGAAAATCCGGAACCTTTCTCCTAGCATAAGCTAGAAGACTTGAAACAGTTTCTAGGACAGCTGAGAATGTCAGACAACATTTTTTTCCAATTTACACAATTTTTTACGTTTTGAAGGTGAAAAGCAGATGTCCAACAAAATATCACGGGACTTGAAAGCTCAATAAGAAGATTAACTATGTGTCCCTAATTTTCCTCGACAACCTATTTCATATGGTTATACTGTTATAACAAGGTAAATAACACGATTGACATTATCTTTGCGATATTTTTCGTTCAGGAATTTCACAGAATTTGATTCTAAACTCTAAAAGAGCATGTGTGTGGAAACAGGAGTTTTAGGTGGAGCAAGTTTTGTTTTACGGTCTTGAAGACTTATGGGATGTACATTTTGATAAAATTGAAGTCACTTGTCAATGAGTAGCAAAGAACTGAACGCACAATCTCAGTAATCTTTTTTTTTTCAAAGAGAAGCATCTCGGAGAAGATTATTGTTCACACCATACATAAATAAAGAGTCTTCAAATTTCAGTTATATTGAGCTATTTTTCAAGAAACACATTGAATCAGACCTCCCAATATTAAAAGATTACATTCCTTTTAAAAGAAAGGCTGTCAAGTGGCATGTCAACCACCTTAAAGGCTTCGTAGGCACCTCTCTGATATCTCCAGTTTTTGCACAAATCTAAGGCCACCACTAGTTCTAGATCTCACGAAACTTGACATGGAGGTTGCTTCAAGGCAGAAGGCAATGTTCTTCACAGGAAACGAAGCATGTGCCAAGTGGGTCTAATGAACGGATCTCTTCATCGCAATCAGTTCTTGAACTTCCACGTTTCCTTCATCAAAGCACTCGTTATTCTTCTTTGTATGGAACCTAAGGACTTCTTTAGAAGCGTGGAGAATGGCAGTTTTTCGTGATCCCACGGTGTTTCGTTGCTTGGGAGGGAGCTTGGGTCTACAAACCTCCACTGTAGGCCTGCCTGGAAGTCAGCTTCCACTTCAGCTGACTTGAAACTACCAACCTTAAGCTTTTTCCTTCGGACTTCTCATTCCTTGGGTTTAGGTTTGAGGTGAAGCTTCAGTGCAGCGAACAAGGAGATGGTCGGGGTGACATTCAGTACTGGGCATCACCGGCTGGTGTGTAAGACATCTCTCAGATCCAGCTATCGAACTCCTCATTCACAATCTTTCAACCGAGTGGCGAGGTATACTAGTTCGTCAGTTAGGGGAGGAGTTTGGTAATTTTAGTTCTCCGAGTCCTTATAATCTGGGTCTAGGATCGAGCCCTAGGGTGATTAGCAAAATGCTAATCATTCATCCTAGTTAGCTTTTACTGCTCAGTTATGTTCAGCTTGCTAGACCATCGATAGAGGGCTGTACGATTGAGGGTCGTAAAACTAAAGCCAAAGTAATACCAACTGCCGATCATAAGGAGCTTACGAAAACTCAAGGCAAAATCTAGCAAACTGCCTGGAGCGCGGGAAAAAGCGACTGATTTAGTTGCGATTGGTTAAAGTCTTGCATTTGATTGGTTCAGGGAATAGCTGGCGCGAGATTTCAGGAACAATCACATAGTGAAAGAAAGCCAATGCAATGCCTGATCACTCTCGATACTCAGTTGAAAATGTCTCTACAACGTTCCAGTGGTACGCGTTCAGACCAGGGTCATTGAGAAAAAGCTAACATAATGTTGCATCCTTGCAAGATCTTAGTCACATGTACCTCTGACTGCTTGCAACTTTAAAATAAATGCGGGGAATAAGCCTGCAAGGAAATGACATCTCATGCCAAAGGATTGCAGCACCGAGTTCAGCAAGTCTCCTTTTGTTGTTGTTAATCGACTAGGAACGGAGTTAAGCCAGATGAACAAAGGAATATGGAGAACAAATGAAAAAAAAAAAAAAAAAAAGGAGCAAACAAACAGAAAAACGAAAAAACAAGGAAACAAAGACTTAAAAGTGAGGGGCAAATTTTATTTTGTGTTGACACCATAAATATATCCGCATGCCTGATACTTGGTCTGTTTAATAATAGATTAGCGTGTAGAATATTTGGTCCTCTTTAAATAACAGACTATTAATAGTATATGCAATATAAAATGGGTTGCAAAAGATAATTTTACACCCAAAAATGTTAACCACAGCGACAGCACATTCCTAAGCTACACTAACATTGTTCCAAACACGTATTTCTGTTGAGTTTGTCAACGCAAACACTTTATACTTTAAGACAAGAAAAGTCTGAAAAACTTTCAAAATGTGCATTTTGCTTGCCTCAGACTTCTCAGTAACAAGTCTTCCGTTTATTCGTATTTGCCGAGAGCTTCCTGCAGAGTGGCGACGTCACCTTTGATGTCATTGGCCAATTTCATTATCTGGTCCTTCGAGTCCAATACTTCCACAGACTGCGTGTACGGATTGTAACGGACGGAGAAGGGTCTGGGAACTTTAGCAGCAAACTCCCTGCAAACATGACGGATAAATGTCAATACCTGAGCAACTGCTCACTTACCCCTCCCCTAACCTAACAACAGTCAACCGATAACAAGTTAAGGATAATGTTGGTTTAGGGGAGGGGTAGGTGCGCAGTTGCTGAAAACTGCAATTGATGCAACATGGGATTTATGTCATGACCATGTAAAAAGTTTCAAAATGCCACTTTCTCTCTTCACCTAGAAAAACACAGTAGCGTTACCTTTCTCTTACTGTTAAGTTTAAAAAATAATTACATGAAAATAAAGAACTACAGCTGCGTGACCCAAACAATCTATATTTCACTCTTTGTACAAAGGTTAGTTCAAAGAAAGTTCAATCTTTGGCCAAAATGAACTGATGCTACTTGTAGTCACATTCCAGCTGATAATAAAATTGACGGGGCCCGAAGCCAGTTACACCCATTTCTTGACAAGCCGCTTTTTTTAAAAACTTTTTTCAAGCCTATTTTCCATGGCTCACACCGAGATGCACCCGGATGCGCAGGAAGAGGTTGGGTGATTGGAGCAGAGGGAGTGAAAATGTCAAGTAAAAGGTAAGGATCGAAATAAAAAATCCTACCTGACTTTTTCCTTTGCACTCTGGAAACTGTCGGCGACAAAGTATAACGGTTGATATTTGGTGATAGGATAGCTCTGAACCACCATCTTCTCAGGCTCAAACGGCCTCTTCTCTGGCTCATCTGTCAGACAATACTAAAAAGGAAAAAAACAGACGCATTTCCAATTTAAAATCAATTTTTTAAAAAAAGGAAACAACGAAGAAGCTCTCTTGTTTTGGTTCAGCTCTGATTCTCGATTTCTTACATGGGTGAAAATCCCCGTTTAAAGATAAACCGTATACTAACCAACAACCTTTTTCCCAATAGAGTTTCCCCGTTGAAAGGTAAATCCGCTAAAATATCTTGATACCTATCGCGAGATGTAGGATATTCTCTGGAACACCAAACCATCACATGACACATATGAACCATTATTCTTAAGAAACTAGCTATCTTGAATGAGGAAATTCGAGAGGGCTGGCTCCTTTAAAATAACGCTTAGAGCACTTTTGGATTGGGTATCAGTAGAGCAAAACAGAACTTATCACGATGACCAATCAAAACACAGACAAATATAAAAATGATCTAGTGAGGGCTCGGAGCAGACAGACGGAGCTGGCTTCTCGCATGTGAAAATGTGAGTGACCTGGCCAAGACTGCATCTAATTGATTGAAAAGGTGGTGCCAGATTTCTTGGCCAATCACGACGTGTAAAACAGCAAACCAATGGTATCCCAAATGTTTAAATCTCTGTGCTTTTTTGCTGGGAAAGCAATCCAGACAATAACTGGATGTTGAAAATCCCACTGACCGAATTGCGAGACGACAGAGGGGGCACACGAGAGGAAGGAAATAAGCGCCTTACACTCATTGTTTACAGACACTCATTAAAGAGTTCGTAAACGGTTGTTGTAGAGCCAAATAGAACTAACTTTGCAGCTGAAAAAAGAGGCTATGGGCTAACCTGAAGTTCTCCAAAGGAAGACAACAGTCCGGCTCCATAAGCCTTGACTTCTTCGTCTTGTTTACAGAGTCCAAACTCAATTGTGAACCAATAGAGCTGCAAGCAAAGAACAAGATCAATTCAACGCAATGATGTTTTGACACCTGCCAGTTCGAAAATGTACCTAAGTATTCATTCAAGAAGAAGAAAAAACTGTGAATTGTTAAGAACTATTGATCTCATTCACTTTTCCCAAACACAAAGTTGTTTATCTTTTTTGGCATCTTCAAATTCTTAAATTTCCTGAAATCACGTAACAAAGACAAAGAAGCAGATCATTCCAGACCTGTATTTTAATAGCCGTTTATTGCTTTAAACCACTCACTCATGAGAAAATTAGAAAAAAACTTTTTCCTTGAAATGATTATGTTACACAAACACAAGCCATTTTTAAAGCACCCACAAGGCAGATTGGCAACCTCATGACGTCATAAGTATGTCACAAAAATGTGTATGTTATCAAAAAATTAGAACCGTAAATACAGCCTGTGTATTCCTTACCGTTGCCAATTTTTCGATCCATTCATCTGGGGCCCCTAAAGATGCCAACCCAATCTCCTGCAGGAGAAAATCAGTAAGATCAAAGAGGTTTAAAACCATTCAGTAGTACCGCGAAGACACTGGACACCTTCACGTACACTCAGTTAGCGCCAAAGCTATTTCAATCTCAGATATAAACTAAAGCAGGTTATTTGAATGATATTCTGTTTATCCCGTCACAAAAAAGCCCCTGAAATTTATTGATGTTGGCACAGACGAAGCCCATCATTAAGGGCAAAAAACCAAAGGATATATCCAATACCATGACGACATTGCTATCTTGATACGTGAAAAGTTTACATGGTATATTCACTTTATGCGGTGAAGAAATCACCATTAATATCTGTACATGTAGCAATATATCACCTGACTAAACTGAGCAAAATCAGAATCAGCGAAAAGTGGGACATGACCAATGAGCTCATGAATAATGTCCGGCTCAGGGGTGTACAAAGGGTTGGAACCATGTCTGATATACTGAGTAGCATGGAAGACTCGGAAGGCAAGTCCAGCAAGGAAGTCACGTGAGGAGATCAGGCCAGCAACTGGGCGAAGACTGAAGCCAGAGCATTCTAAGAGTTGGAATTCAAAGTAAACACGAATTATTGAAAAATAAAAGTGAAGTTCCACGGGGTTATTAAAGAGATGCTTCGTACTGTGGCAAGTACATAAGATGGAGTTTCCAGGTTCTGGCTTCCCTATCTATTCCCATCTGTCTAACTTTCTGTCAGAAAGTTGGTCCATTTGTTTGTTGATTCCACATTCTAATCGTTTTAAGCTTGTTAACAGACAGTCAGTGAAAAAGCTAGTCTAACGTCTCCATATCATATACGCTTGACTTTACATTAAGACAATATTTGACCTGAAAAAGAATTTGTGCTCCAAAGTTTCTTAACTTAACGGAGCGATTCACTATGACTACGAGAAAAAAAGGAAATTTTCAAAGAAAGGAACTAATGAACTTACCTTTCAAGAAATTTGACACCACATCTTGTTGCGGAATGTTACCCAGCCTATGAGAGCAAGTTAAGGTAAAATTGAACAACAGTAATATCAGCTGTTAGCAACGTCGCCTTGGTATATATGGTTAGTGCTCAACATGGGATCTACTGTATGTTAAATCAATGATAGTCCAAACATTCAAACTCCTACGTTGTCACTTCTCTCTTAAAAGAGGGTTTGTAACCATTATTAGTATACAGGAAAGATACCTGAATGACACGCATAATTTTTGGCATTTTTAGGGGGAGGGAGGCAAGTGCATGGTGAGTATCAAGAGAGCTTAGAGGGTGAGTCAATGGTGCTCCTTAATGGTGCTTGCCATCACTCTCCTAGAAACAAAGGGGGCGTATTCCTTATTAACAACACTAATCAAGACCCACCCTCACTAATCCATAGCTAGATGCTTTTCACTTGCCAGCTACACACAGCATTTCTACCCAGTAAAGTGAAGTCAAGTCTTTGTTTATGAAAAACTCTACTAATTTCTTTTGCAACATAGCAAACATACCTATAGCCACAGTTTTGCACCAACAGAGGCCACACATAACCATGTTCACGGCATGCATGAGTAGGGTACAGCTTTGTTAACTCAGAAAACACCTTATCCCTGCAAAGAGTAGTAGAGTAGTAGTATGAAGAATTGAATGATACCTTCAAAAATTGATTCAGAATGAAAAAGAAAAACATTATTTGATATACTAGGATAAAATCATTGAATACTTTAACATTTTTTTTGATCAATTGATTAGTTGGTTTTTTCATAACAGATTCTTACAAACTGCTGTGAGGAGGAGGAGGAGCTAGGAAAATTATCTCAGTTCAACCTACACTGTACAATTCTTGGGGGGAGTCTGCACAAACCTTTCCCTAGCATTCATCATAATGATACATATATAGTAATAATAAAAATAACAATTTTGCAAGAATTATGATAATGATAAAAATAACAATTTATTATATTGAAAAAAGCAATCTGTTTTTAATCTTAACTAAGATATAAATGTAAATCTCTTACCAGGTCTTGATCTCTTCAGCTGTGTACTTCACATGTGGGATTGGCTGACCACTGTCATCAACACAAAATTATTGATTAGTAATAATGGCAAGTATACAGATTATTTTAATTGAGGAACAATCAAAATTTGACATACTGCTTGTAGTTGATAGCAATATCTGCAAGTTCCATTCTGCGAGCCCTGTACACTGGATCAGTGAAGCCCTTAAAAACAAGCCCATTGTCAGTGAAATTCAAAATAAATTTGTAGAATCTCATTCCTAAAACAAAACTTCTGGTTCAATAGAGAACTGTCACCTGAGGGGTGGAGTAGGTGGTGAAATCAGGGTTTAGATACATGTAGCAGCTCATAATCAGGTCTCTTACCCTTGGTGAGTAATCTTTATTTTACAAGTGTTACACAACTCTGATAATTTTCATTTTAATAACATTTTGCTCATTTTGATAACGTTCATTTTAAACAACATTTTGCTGATGTTAGTATGAAGGTCAATTACCAGGTAAACTTCACAAATTAACAGAAACCATAATCACTGGTTTATTTTACTACACATTCTTTGAATTAACACAACAGTAAAATAAAAAGATGTGCTCTTACTGGATGGTCAGCATCAAGCTCTGCTCCATAACTCATTACTCTGTTTGCAAATTTGTCCAAATCTGCAATCTTGCGAGGAAACCATGGCACTAGATAGGGAGAGATCATTCATTATCAAATCTACGAATATTTTAATAAAAATAATATGTGTTATAATCATGGTATCTTTTTCAAGGGCCCTCTAAAGAAGCTATAGGTGGTGAGGGTCAAGTGACAATTTCCTACTGATAAATTGTACTGTTTATCATAGGATGACCTTGATTTCATATTTAATGCTGTAATTGATTTTGAATTCATTTTTCATGTGGTTCTGAAAGCTAAGCTTCCTTTTTTAGCATTGAAAGAGACAAAAGATCAAAGTGCTCTGTGAGAAAACTCGTGAATTGACAGATGACTAACATGATTTTTTGGATTATGTTTAATGTTATCTGGTTTAGGGAATTTTGTGGTTGATTGTCATATTTAGAGTACGAGCAGTTGTTCAGTGTTCGCTAATGTAGCAAAGAAACAAAGTAACATTGGGATAAGATTGGCATTACAATTGAAATGATCATGCTATTACATTTGACAAGGGTGGATGATGTCATGTTTTTTAAACAGTCATATATTGTTTTTGTTTCTGGTTCAAAAGAAAAGGTTGGAAGTAAATGTGGGTGAAAAGTGAAATTTACTGTCTATCATTGTAAATATTGGAAAATCAAGGCAATACTGTCTTAATGAAAACATTAATGATTCCCTCTTTATCAAATGAGACAAATGGGAACAAGTTTTGAGTGATATCACTAAGCCCAGACTGCCACCGTTATTTTGGATTTCCACCTGGGTAGATTTTGGTCACGTGCTAGGCAATGTATAATCAAGAACAAGATAGAATTTCATTTCAGGCCTATTTATCAATTTTGTGGTGTATAACTTTCGCATTTTAGTAAGTAATATTTATTTTGAATCTTCAAATTGTCTTGAAACTTAAAAGAAAATTGTTCTTTAAAATTCACTGAAAATCAGTAGCCAAAATTAGTTGTTTAGATGTTATTTGATTTTCTTATTAACCTGTAATTTCGTCAGTCGCCAGCACCTTGTTGCCTCACACAGAAAAAACATATGATATGAAATGTAATGATCAATTTTGTCCCCAATCTCACACCATAATAGAAAAAGCTTTTGAACACCTGTAAACTCCAGGTGCTTCAGAGTAAGTGATATTTTTAATGAATCTTTGGATTGTTTTCAAGTTCAAGGATTGTAAATTACAATTTTATGAAAAACAAAGGTTGTTCTCTTATTTCAGTGTGAATCCTTGCATGCCTGCCAGTTGCTGGCATCACTTGTTGAAACTAAAACCCTTTCTTTTAGCTTTTTAATAATCTTTAATGTACAGCACCATGGACAATTAGTGGATTTAGCGCTACATAAATATTTTCATTATTCATCATCATTATTATTAACAGTACTACACAACGAAAACATCAAGGGTGAGAATATGTGAAAAGTTTAAATTTAGTTACATTCATCTTAGGTACTTTTTTTATTGTGTAAGTAATTTAAAAAAAAACACTCAATGGCATACTCTAAATCAAAATGTTACCAACATGTCAGACATAAAATTCATGTGAACATAAGAGTCATCTTGGACCTCAATTTGAGACTGAGAATAAGGGCTTTATTTAGTTACCATTAACATACAAGTCCCTTAACGTATGTTACACCCACATAATTGTGCAGATCATCTCTCTAGTAGTCTCATCATTCAAAACTATAATATACTTAAAGGCAAGAGGGACTGGATGACAGGTAGGCTATCAAGAGTGGAGATATAACCCTAAAAATGTACAGCATGTAAATATTGAACTAACTGTAAGGGTTACAGGTTCTAAACAACCCCTTCAGTCCTCAACCTTCATGTCACACACTAATTTTATTGCTGCTATTCCACAACAACTACTCAAATCAAACAAATATTTTGCCAATTCTTATTCAATTATAAAGATCAATTGATTTGTATCTCATTGTTGGCACTTCCTGTCATAATAAGTAGGCAAAGTTTGGGTGTCATTCAGCATTATGCAGTCAAGAAATCTCACCTATCCAATTTTTTTTAATAAAAAAAAAGTTAATTGTTGGAGAGCACAGTCGATTTGTAAAAATTAAGAGGTCAAGGTGATTCTTGAGAGCCAAGGTGGCAGTCATCCAGTGTGGGTTTCACTAAAATCAACTCATAATCATTAACTGTCACTCTTCCACTTACCAATATCATGATCTGAAGAGTTGCAATGTAACCACCCCAACAGATTAGTAGTAAGCGGAAAAAAAAAATCAAACAAATATCAGCAAATTAAATATCAGCTGCTAAAAAAGAAGTCATCACAAAAATTTTGACTCAAACAACCAACAGAAATGCTAAACATGACCAACAAAGTGACCAATGTGCAGGTGCCTTTTACTTGTGCTGGTTAACTGAATTAAAAGTGCATCATTTTATACTGGATGAGCAAAAGACATTTAAATATTAAAAACCTTTGTTTATGTGATTTGCACGTACTTAAAAAGAACAACTACATGTATGTTTTGTAAACTCAAGGCAACACAAATGTCAAATACTTTTGATTGAAATTAATGTTGATTATAACAAGCCATTTCTGTCCTGATTACACTGAAGTTCTAGAAGATCTGCACATTATAACAATTATTATTAGTTACTTTGATTGACCTTTTACCTTTGTTTATACCACTTTGATAAAAATTAACTGTTTGATTGAAAGTTTTATAACATAGAAGAGAACTGTAAGTGTGGTTCAATTAATAAAAAATAAAACACTCAGTAGTAGAAGAGCTGTAAAACGGGCATCCTCTTCATGGAATCTGAGATTAACAGTAACATCATACAACACATTATCCTTAACAACTTAATCTCCAAAAGGCATACAGACGGGGTTACTCAACTGAACTCCTACTAATCCACCTAACACAAATGTGGAGAAAAGAGTTGGACTCTAGAAAGATTGTAGCAGCAGCATTTGTGGACTTTAAAAAAGCATTCAACTGTGTTCCACATGAAACATTAGTAAAAATGCTGGAATAACAATTTGGCATCACTGGATCACTGTTGGAGTGGCTGAAAGATTACTTGAATGAAAGGAAACAGTTTACAACCTTGAACGAGATGCAATCTGATCCAGCAGCAGTGCCTAATGGAATTCCACAGGGTTCAGTACTGGGCCTGACCCTTTTCACATTATTCACCAACAATCTACCATCTTCTATTGTTTCAGGTTCGTTATATATGTACACAGACAACACAATGATTTACTGTATTGGTGAGACAGCAGATGTGGCAGTCACACACTTAAACAAGGCATTAAATGAGGTCTACAAATGGTGTTTGAACAGCTGTTTATCCTGCCATCCAAGAAAAAGTGAGGTTATGCTGATATGCAAAAGAACTGTACATGGACCTCTGGCCCCTGTGCGTCTTGGTGACTCAATTCTCAAGTGGGTTACAACTACACAACTGCTTGGCATGACAGTTCAGGGTTCTCAGTAGAATTTTGTACAGCCGTTGCTTTGGTAGTTACAGGCATAACCCTAACATACACGCCCTTTGGGCGTGAAACTTGGGCCCGTAGGGCCCAAGCTGCTAGGGGGGTCCGGGGGCATGCTCCCCAGGGAAATTTTTTATTTAAGATGCTCAGAAATGCTTTTTCCTTCATTTTGGGGGCATATTTTCTCATTTTCTCCAAACAAGTTTAAGTACATTTTGTAATCTGTTCAGTGGCTTTGAACTACGGAAAGTTGAAATTATCTCTTATCAAACTGAAAACTACACTGCAATATTCAATGAAATATTAACCTGCAATAACAATGCTTTGCTTTCTGAGTTAATGGCATTCATTTTATACAAAAATAATTATTAGGTAACCAGTCCTCTCCAAATGGGGGCACCCACTTACAAAAACTAATTCTCAAGGCCACACTGACCCAGTAACTGCTATTTATTGTTTTTTTAGAGGGCACGGTAACGAATCTTGCAATCTGATTGGTTCTTTACCCGGTCAGTATTTTCCTATCTCTGCCCACGGGCCACGGTAACGCTTTCGTGAGTCGCCGAGACATCCCAACTTTCGTTGTCATTTTTCATAAATATACCTCGTTTTCCGGCTGGGCAGTATTTTTAAGCAAACACGTCGGTCACTACCTCAAGCCGATAAATAACTTATGAATCCTCTCTTTTCTCTCTATCAAATCACTTTGGTTGACAGAAAAATATTGGTTTCAGAATGAATTTGTATAAACAATAATGTAATTACGTTGGTTGATAAGCGGCCTAAAAACCTTCTGCAATTAATTTTAATCGTTCACAAAAATTACCCAGAAAGTTGGAACGTGAGGTATTTGGTTACAGTTAAACTGAACGATGGAACTTTCATTCATTTAATATCTGAATTTTCTCGAGCAATTTGTTCATAGTGAAAGAGCGAGCGAAGTTTTAATTTAAGTTCTACAACAAATATACGCTCCTGGTGAGTCTTTCCAATTCCGTTCAATTTGGACATTTGTACCTTAAATTGCACAACAGAAATTGAAGGAATTTTTTGAGAAAAGGCCGCATTACATTCCCTTGTGTCTCGTTGGAGTGTGCCGTTCGAATTTAGGTTTTGTGAAGGAAAGATCAGAGGTAAACACGCCGTTACAGCAAACAAACGAGCAAACTCTCACAACTTCAAAATAAAAAGATTGAATTTACTCACAATTAATTTCCTCGCCGTTTACTTAATGAACAGAGGTAAATCTTCGTACATGAATGAATCGTCGATGAGAGTGAATAATAGTTTCCGTTAGATCATTAACTGATTTTGAAGAAAACATTGTCGTGACAGTCCTTGCCAAACTAGTTCTGTTGGTTTTCAAATGTTCCTTCGCTTTTCTTTTTCTTGCGCGCTCTCTAATTGACAGGTGTCAGATTGTGACAGAAACTTGTAAAAATAATGTTTCAAAGTTTGTTTGGAAGCCTTTTAAATCACCTTTATCGTTACGGAAATGAAAATGTTTCGCTGAGGCATCTCTCTTAAATTTGCATCACCTCTATTTAACTACCATTTACCCACTCAAAAATATTTCAGTTTATGAAAGATCTTGCCGTATTTACGGCCATAAACATGATAAATCATTCGGGTTCTTTCGGAAAGAATTTCGTCAAGTTTAAAAACAATAAATATGTTATTTACCGGCTAAGGGTCGGTCCGTATGGTGAAAAACTGTGACCTCGGTCTTGAAAATGCTGCCCTCGGCCTACGGCCTCGGGCAGTATTTTCAAGACCTCGGTCACAGTTTTTCACCATACGGACCTCCCAGCCGGCAAATAACATATATATATCTAAATGAGAAAGAGTATAAGATAGCGCAAATATTTGTTAATGAATGAATCGGCCATGTTTTTGCACGTGGAAAGACGACATCTGCGAGAGGCCTGGGTTCAAATTTACAAATTCAATATGGCGGCCATATTCAACGTTGCTGAGACGTGAAGCGATTGTTCGGTTATTCTATGGTCTGCAAAAAGGCTATTCACTTTGAAAACTAAAACCGAAGAAAGGTACATTGCGAAAGCAACTAACAGTCAATAGTTTACCCAGCAATTTACTCAAAAAGCCGTTCTTTTATTTGCATTTGATAGACGAATTGATCGACTGGTTGAAGCACTTTGACAGCCGTAACACTTACCTGTGACACCCGTGACAGGTGTTACGGGTTACGGGTTCAACTGAGAACCCTGCAGTTGACGATAGATTCACCTGGGTACAACACACACTGGAACTTAAAAGGAGTTTTGCTAAAAGGCTAAAAGCCATAGTAACTAGATATAGGCAGAGTGATTTTGTATATTACTAATAATTTAAATGGAATTGGCATTGGAATATCATAAATTTTAAATTTTATAATTTTATCTTTAGGTAACTTTAACATATATTTTGATTATATATATTTAAATTTGATATTTTATATCTTGTTATATGTCTAAAAGTTTTATTATTTAACTTTGTAGTTATTTTATTTTATGCGCAACCCCACAAGCTACTAGCTTTAATTACTATCAAGATAAAATAAAGGTTTATTGTATCATAGCTTAAATTATGCAACATAATAAGACAATGATAGTTCACACTAACCCGAATTTTTCTAAGTGCAATTACAACTGCATATATTGTGCAGGTGCTCATGTTCATTGTGTGTTTTTTCAACTAAAGAGGGAATGATCATGAGAAATGTTCACAATAAAAAGACATCATCAAGTTATAGCATTTATTATACAAGGTGCGAGAAATAAGGAAAGTAGTAAAAAGTCATTGCCCAAGTATGGTTTGTAGGCTTGTAATATACCCTTCACAGCACATCAAATGCAAGTTTGAATTGTGCAAAAAGAACTTAAATGTTTATAAACAAATTATTCTAGCCTACCCAAGGGAAAATCATTGCCACGTCCCATTAATCAAAAGAAACATGTTGTGGTAACCCTAACCCTTGGCAAGAATGCTTTCCCTTGTAGGAAAGGGTTAGGCTACCTCCATCTGTGGTCTTTTCTTGAGATGATTATCAATTTCTTTCTAAGGGAGACTGGTTTCCCAGGTATCAGGAATCTTAATTTCAAGGAAAAGCATCTCATGTAATTGTGTCAAGAAATCGAACAATAAAAGTGACCCTACTTGGACTTTCAGGTACATTAGCTTTCTAGCACCTGATGCCAAACACTGTCTGGGGGAATTACAGCAGAAATATCAGTGAGATAACATGTTATATGTGTTGTCTGCAAGTTTTAAAACTATCAGTTTGCCTTTACTTTGAAATATACTGCCCAAAACAAATTTTTGGCCGAAAAGAAAAGGTGAAGTAAAAGTGATTGTTATAAATGTGCCAAAAAAGGAACATTACATGTCAGAATATTATAGGGATTGATGGTATGGGATCACTTAACCATGCTGTGCTGTCTGAAAGACAATGCACAGATTAATATTACCTTTGTTCTCATTATGCCCAGTTTTTTGGAGACTAAGAGTAATGAGCAGGGTAGAAAAAGGTAATGAACAAGATAATTTTAATAAGAAAAATAAATTCAAATTTGCATAGAAAATCTACAATTAAATGGTCAATTATTTATATGTAACTGGCAAATACCTCCTCCTTCCTCTGAATGAAGCATGATTGACAAAGCATGACCCTTCAAGGCATCCATAAACTTTTCAAGCTTTGCCCCTTGAAGTTCTTCACAATCCACAATGAAATCATATTCTGACTTGGAATGCTTTGATGGCCTTGACTCAATGTGTGACATGTTCACCTTGTGATCCTGTGGACAATGAAATAGAATATTTTTACCAATCAATAATAATATCTCTAGTGACCATTAAACATACTAACATTGCAACGTAAACTGAGCATAGTCAGTTTGAACCCAAGTCAAGTTGATATTTTTCAGCTAAGTAAAGCCACCTTTAATTAACAGCTAAATCATGTCAGCCATATAATTTTTCTTAACTACTAATAACGAAATGAAGCTATGTGCAACTCAATTTTTGAACCCTTTCAATTCAAATGTTAATGTAGTTGGCGGGTGATTCTATAAATCTACTGGTGTGATAAATATCCTTGGAGAATTCTAGGCAGGAACACAAACAGCCTTTTCCTTTCTACAGGTTTATTTATGTAGTTATAAATGGCTCACATCATTCTGGAAGTTTTTGTAACTGTACATGAATGCTTCTGAAGAAACAATGTTCTGAGAATTTTGGTTCATTACAAAAATTTTTAAAAAAGACCAAAGAAAAAGCCAAGTAGAGAAGTTTTATCCTTCCAACCTCTTGTACACCCCTATATCTGCCCTTGACCATACAATTTCACATGCCTTTTAAACAGTTTTCTCTCATTGAAAGGTTAATAAAAAAATACCTGTATATGCAAAAATTTCAGCATATTCACAAGTTGAAAACACATCAGTTAATCACAAAAATCTTGCAGCTTTCAGTCTTTTTTCACACAATGCTACACGGTTATCCGATAAATCCGGCAAATTTGCATAATGATTCTTTCTTGATTTCCGAGAGAGAGATTCTGACTAAAACTATAACTTCTTTCTTTGGTTAAGAGTTATTTAATTGTTCTTGTTTCGTTACAGCTTTTTTCCCCAGATTTACAGAACACTTTGTTCCTCAAGAATGTTGATATTTGAGAAAACAACATCCTAACAGCTGCGTAGAAAGTGTTGGGAAACAATTAGTTCAGACACAAGCTGTGCAATCATCGAATTAAGAAGCACATTGATAATTTGGAGAGCACTCAAGAAGCTAGAGTTGCTCTCGACTACGCCTTGAGCAACTCTTTGCCATCTTTGATACTCTCTCAACTTCCCGCGGGATTCATATCTCGATGAAACACGCTGAGGTGAGATGTTTATTAAGTTTGGAGAGCAGTTTTGGTGTACTTTTCTTTGGGTAGAATGTAAATTCTTGGATCTGGAAATGTGATAGCAATGATGAAGGTTCACTCGAAAAGCACAGCGAACAAGGTTTCATTTAGAGGCTCTTAGTAATGATTGCATCAGATAAAAAAAAAAAAAAGACCGCATTAACTTTACGAGTAACTTGGGCCCGTTCTAACAACACTTTCGTCTCGGAAATTTCATCAGAAAATGCTGATTGGAAATTATACTTACAGAAACTGAATAACAGAGGATTTGACTTTAAACGAATCGTTAGATCACCCACTCTCCAAAAAATAACGCCTAAAGCACCTCCAAGCAGTATTCTAAATACAGGTAAATGAATGCAGTACCTCAAAAAGTTTGAGAGCTCGGGCCAGCGACCCAATCTCTTCTTTTAATGAAAACACTATCGAAGTGTGTTTCTTTTCGTCATCCTCAGCTAGATGCTTCTGCGAAAACAACAAAAAAAAGCGAAAAAAACCTGTAGTAGATGTACATAACAATCAAAACAATGGACTACAACGAAGCACAACGAAGCACGTACGATCGACAAATACAATATTTGATCATCTTTTCTCTCTGTTTGTATGGAACAACCAAGGGTAACTCGATACCACAAACTAGGAATGAACGTTCGTGATATGACAAAAAAAATTCACCTTTCGATTGGTAGTATCTTCGTCTAAATCGAAGTGTTTTCTTTTGCCCGCTACTCCGGCGTCCATGTTAATTCCTGAATCTAAGTGCAGAATTGCGTGGACTTCGTCACGTGGCCACATGTATTATTCTTAATAGAGATAGGTGTGTATGAAGGAGGGGCAAAGGTGGGGCAAGGGTAATCTCGTACCCAGATTTTACCGTGTAACTGTACCTAAACCACTTCGTCGTGAAAAGTCTGGGTTTGAGACCAGGGCAAATGGTGCAAAGACGATAGGAAATTACGTAACTAGTTAGCTTCCAAGCCTGTCCAGTACTACTAATCAGGGTTGTCTAAAAGATTTTGAGTAACCGCACTAAGATACAAAGTTGGCAACACTAAGAGTCATCAACGTCATGCTTCCATGCTGAAAATTTAGCCATAAGCATTCGGAATAGCTGGCGCGTTTTTCGGAGTGGATGGCGAAATGAGCTAGTTGTTAGCTAGATGATTCAATTGTGAATCTTTTTCACTCAGTGTCACTTTTTCGGGAAAGTTTTCTTTATCTGTATAATCTTGTAACTCCCATTTCAGATTTTTTTCATAGACAAGTTCGAATAAATATGAATGAATGCGTGTAAATATAACCTTCGGCTTTTAGGTATTGTAAAACCAAAAAGATCTGAGTCCCAAAAAAATTCTTCAATCCCCACACCGAGCCTAAATGCTGTTTTCATAAGGCGTATGATTGTTATTAGGGATATTGCCAATTGCTCAGCTATATTCACCATTTAGTGATGGCAATGACTGCATTCTCAACGTTTCTGACATATGAAGACTTTGCACTGTTTCACACAAAAACTTCTAACGGTTCTTGCTCAAAGCGATCATTCTTTGAACATAATTCTCTTGCGTTGACCGCCTCTGGGTCTTGCTGTGGTTGCAAATTCTCATTTAAAACATTGTTATATGGGCTACCAAATGTCTCCTTATTATTTAGAGTGGTTACATGTATGTAACTAAAACAAGCGTGGTTAAGTAAAAAAAACACATTATGGTTTGGTTTTATCTAAGTAACCAAAATTAGTTTCATGTTCCGACTCGAAAAATAAGGGAAAGTTTTTATGGTAGAGTCTTTTATTTTGTGATCCTACGTGTGCCCGTCTATCGGGTCCTATTTAGTTGAAACAAAATTGTGGAAAGTTTCAGCACTAAGAGGTCATAATTATGATAAAATGCTCATTGACTGAGTTTGGTCGGGCTGAACGGGAAAGCACTAGGCTCTGGCTCATGACATATGCACCTCTCTGCGCTCGCCCGGACCCTTTGTCATGACTTCGAGCCAAATATTTTCCTCTCCGGCTCTCCTCTTGGTCAATAGGTACCATATTGCATTTTGGCCACTTAACCGATATCCACATTTATGTTCTGAGTATTTATTATTTAAGGGACTCGGTAATTTGGTATGGAGGTTATTTAGGGATCTTGATATTGCCAAGGTTGTATTGGTTTTTAGAATTGTTTCAGACGATGAGATATTGCATAAACATTATTATTATGTCTGACATTTTAAATTTTATGTGTTCTGACATAATTTCCCGAAACTTTTATGTAATATTGATTTCCGGCACTTGAAAGAACCATCCTGAGCCTTAAAATTAAATTAAATTGTCCAACTGTCTGACAAAGGACTGTCACCTGGCAAAAATATTTATTTACGAATGACGAAATTCGCATTTTGGTTATGAACGAGGTTACATTGTTTTTGATAGTTTTTCCAGATGATTAGATACTGCCAAAACATTAAATTTATGTCCGAAATATTAATTTTTTTTAAGAGCAAATATAAATTTCGTGCAACTTTTATGTAATATTGATTTTATATCACTTTGTGCTCGGGGCAGGTTGCTTTCAAGCACTTAAAAGAGCCATTCTGAGCCTTAAAATTAAAGTGTCTGTCTGTCGTACAAATAACTGTCATGTGGCAAAAAAATTATTTACAAATAATCAATTTCGCACTTAGAATAATTTTTAAGCTGAGTCTGAATGTTCTTATTTTTTTGCAATTTGAGCCTGAAAATGTTCTTCACATGATCTGAAAGTTGTGTGGCATAGTATATCACTAGATAAATTAAGTTCGAGTACAATCTCGGTTATTCTTCAATGTACGTAATAAGAAAACGCATTAAAGTGACTTCATCGTGAGACAAACGGAAAACTTAGCTTTTATTGTTATTCACCACGATGACTAACCACAACTTTTTTAGAAAACGCATTGTTAACGTTAAAACATGTCTCTAAGTATTTGAGTTAATTGTCCTGCTAGACCACAGTTTTACATTTTTTTTACCTTTATTTACTCTTCTCGCAAAAAATGAGCGAAATAAAGACGGACTTGACTGACTCTCAGCCTAAGTATGTTCTTAGTATGTTCTGAAAATTTTGGTTAATCTCAGCCCGAACATCATCCTACACAAACAAATCTTATTAAAAAAAAAAAGAATGCAACTTATTTCGCATTTGGTTACCTAGAAACAACCAAGCTGCAATGTGGTTAATAATATATAACCACGCCTATTTTGGTTGCTTAATCGAATAGATCTCTTTTTCTATCGGTTTATCGGCATAATAACCCACGCAGGATATTGGAAGATTACGGGAAAAGTTTGTAAACGTGACAAGCCGTAAGCGGTTATTTACAGATTTTTAGAAACAGGATGTTTTAATGTTTTCTGACGTCACTGACTTTTCAGGATAAGAAACAGTTGACTTCCCCTGAAAATTCAGACTCTCTTTCTACGATGGAGCAATCAGTATCTTCAAAACTACAAGATGAGGTATATTTGACGAACGATTCCCGGATAATCAGTGATTCTAAACTGTTCCTGGGGCTTACAGTTGCCGGTTTTGCGCTTTCTTTAATAACAACAGTGGGAAACACGGTCTTGCTGGTGACAACATTTAAGGAAAGCCGTCGCTTACTCGATAAACCTGCGCATATGCTCATCACAAATCTCTGTGTTTCTGATCTTGTTATTGGATTGCTAGCAGGGAATCTCGCTTCAGTATTAGCTCTATACCAATACCAGAGTTGGCTGATTCCTGCCAAACTAGATCTTGTTGTTCGCTTTGTTCTGATTTTTTTGTTGTTCGTAAGAAGTGGGACAATAGTAACGTTGTCGTTTGATCGCTACTTTGTCGTAGCACACACTTTTACATACACATGGATGATTACAAAGTCGAAATACAAGATTGCTATCGCCTTCATGTGGGCAGTCGGCTTTATCTTATCCTCTCTTCAGTTGACAAGCATTCCAGAAAAAATTGTCATAATTCTCTACACTCACACTCACGTCTCGGTTCCTGCAGTATTGCTAACAGTCATTTACTTCAACGTTTCCCGTGTCCTAATGAAGAGAAAACGACACTTACGAAACGTCGGGATGACAAATAAGCAAGTTTGGGATAACCAAAGACGCATGGCAGTGACAACTTTTTTGGTATTGACTTTGTTTTACGGCACTGTGTTACCCGAGTTTATAGTTGTTCATCTTCGCTACTTCTGCCAGCCATGTGCGCAGTCCTCAACATTTAAGAAGCTGGAAGTCATATTTGCAGGACTTCTCTTTCTAACGTCTGCGGCGAATCCCTTTGTCTACGCTTGGAGGGTATCAAAGTACCGCCGGGCATTTAAAGCGTGTTTTGCCTCTAACCTGCAGAGAATAGCACTGAGACCAAACCCATGGCAATATAACAACCGTGTTACAACGGGAACAACTGTCCAGGCCATTAGTTTAAAAACATTTCAGAGAAATTGATGGTGCGACAAGAAACTTTAACACTTTTATTGAAGGTGATCGGTTTTCGGTAAAGGCCATTTGTCAAGCTTACTGACTTGGGATGAAAGCGCTGAAAGGGAATTAGATTGAATATTGTCTAAATCTTAAAGGAGTTAGACAATATTCAATCTCTCATATTGTACATAATCAACCGAATATTTCAAGGAGGATGAAACCACAAATTCCTTCACCCTTTACCCGTATGCTTATTCTGTACACTGCTTTCTATATATTTCCCACGCTGCTAACAAGGAGAATCTGTTTAGCAATCAAAAGCTTCTTTAGTTTGTGATCATTTCCTTTGTTCTCGTGACACTACTGTGCGATTCGGCGAATGATATTGTCAAGAGAAATTAGATGCTCGTCACTCGTAGGGGTCTAAAGGTTAATGAGCGTAAAGAGGTAACGACTGTAAGTAATATTCAGTCCCAGCTATTGAGTTGTCTATCGAAGTTTCACTCATAATCGGCTTTGAAAGTGAATAGGAGTAAATAACTAAATAAATGCATTTACATCATCGTTGCGCAAAAGCATCACATATCGACATTCCTATACTAGCAGCGTGCAGCAAGTTTGTCACCATAGACCTACAACACATCCTTATTATAGCAGTGTGCAGGAAGGTCGTCACCATGGGCCTACAATCGGCGACAAAATTTTTCCCCTCCCCCCCAAACAATATGATGTTGCTTTGTGATGCCATGAACCTCTAACTACATAGAGGCAACACTGAATGGGAGAGGGAGGCCTTGTCAATGATTTAGGGTGCATGTGTTATCAACAGGAGTGTTATTCTTCACATTGATAGGACTCTTCAAACATGATGTGTCATCTAATTTCGACACTGATTGTGGTTAAGCGCTGCTCGGTGGTATAGAGCATCCGAATTACTAACTAGAAGGTCGTGGGTCCGACTCCTATTGGGGGCACTGGGAGTTCTGTTTTACTCCGGTATGACTGAATCATTAACTGAATAACATCTTCTTTCAACCACAGTATTATCAACATAGAATCACAAAATTTACCCCGACCTTTATTTCAATTTCAAAAACATATCAAAATGGAATTGTTTCCAATAAATAATTAATAATAAATTAAACAAAGTTTTATTTCTTATCAGAAAATTACGTAGCTTTGGCAACACCTTAGTAAAATTGCCAAGGAGATTTCATATTCCTTACAGGGGCCTTTCACCCTCTTTGTTACCTGGGTAACCTTTTCCTTGGAAATGAGGTTACAATAGTGTCAGCCTGCGTGAAGGGTTACAGACGGTACGCGCGCGAGAAGTCTTGCTGTAAGTCACGCGCGCGACTTCTTAACCTTAACCTTAAACCTCCCCTAGCACCTGTCTAGGTAATCAGAGGTGTAATTTGCAGTCTAAGATTACTCAAAAATTAAGCTGCTAGTAAATGCGCAGGTCTTCAGAGGAAAAACTACTTTGTTTGACTGAACAAATTGACATTTTTGTTTTACTCTACCAATCAATACAAAATTGTCTGTCACTTAGAAAACCTTCATTAACCATTGTCTTTAAACCTTCGATTAACCTAAAGATCAATAAGTTAATCTATTTACACATGCATTTACATTTATTATAAGTAAAAAAAAAATTATTTTCGCCCAATTTGATTTCGGCATTGATGTTTATCTTACAAAATACGAAAAAATGTTGTGTACAAAAGCAAACCTTTCTCTCCATGAGGCCAATGTTGGTTACTATACAGAAAGTACTTCAATATTGCATGCAAGTCTCCGCTCACCGCGTTCGGTTTGATGGCAAGTTAATCAAGCGCATTTAAATCTTGTGCTTGGATATATTAACAAAGAGAATAGCAGACGAACGAATTTTAAAAGCGCGCATTGGCATTCCGGCCGTTTTCAGATAGCCAGCTGCACACGCTTTGCATTTTAGCGTCACCACACAGACCGACCCGATTAAGAGATTCTGGTCTATACTCCTTCTGCAGCTGGTATTCGAAAGCTCAAAAATGGCTATGAACGATCTAAGTAAGAGATTGCTGTCTAAAAGAAAGTTTCCAATCTTTATTGTGTCAAGAGATTCCTTTCAGAAGCGAGGCTTCCAGTGTGATGTTGAATTCAACTAAAGTCTGAAGTAACTCCACCAAAAACTGCATTAGACCACTGTCTCTGAAGAATGAAGGTGTGTCGTACATGTTGGTTGTTGCAGGACACGTGGATAGCAGCTCGAACCAGTTGTGAAGCAAATGGTCTCTGAGGGAAGGGAAGGACAAAAATGTTAGGAGAGTAACGTAGGACGGGAACTGAAAGGCGCAAAAAAATAAAAATGCTAGTGAAAGATAAAAGAAGTAGTTGCAGCTATTTCCTATCGAAGCTGACTGAAAAACATGCCTTGGTCTTTTGGCTGCGACAAAAAGATTGCAATTTTTTTTACTTAGCAGTTGGCGAAAACTGGCGCTGCCATCTAATTTAATTTGATCACCACAAACTACTAGACAATTAGCTCTTTAAAAAATATATATATATAATCAATGGAAAATGATACTTACCGCGCACCGAGGCACACAAAGGACTGGAACTGCAAGAAAACAAGGAAATGCTTGCACTCTTTTCATATTTCACATTTTTAATTTTCTAGTTCAAATAACACCACTGCTACTTTTAATTTAATGGTTGTTTCATGATATTAGTAATTAATTTGTCGACAAAAATAGCAGACCCCTCTTTCTAAAATGGTTTCTAGAATTGGTGGAAACATTTGGGACAACGTTTGGGATAACTTCTTCATGTGGTGAAAACGCTCATCACATGTAAATTGAATGATGTCAACCTATTAAAGTACGAAAATCAGAATCCAAGGAAGACTGAGCTCTAAAAGTAGACGCACCTTGCCGTCTTTGCCGATGGTGTGTGACGCATTATTTATTCGCGTTATTACGCTACAGTAAGTTCTTCGCGGTCTTTTCATTGGATCGGCTTGATCCGAGTCCTCCTCCGCGGACGAAAGATACTGCTGACCTTTTTCTGTAAACATTAGAGACGGGAAAAAGAAGAAAAACAAACCACAAACTCAGATACCTCAAAGTTTTATTCTGAAACCTATTTTGAAAATTCACAAACATTTTACCACGAAAAAGATTTCGCATTATAGTGTAATCTAAGCTAATGACGTTTGTCTTTGGATATGGCGATTCTAAATGAGATTGATATGCTCGGGCATTCAACTAAGCTCGCGAGTCGGACTCACTTCATTCGACCTTCCTGATCTGTGTAATAAGCCCTTGAGTAAAAGCTACGACGCGATTTCTTAAGGACACGGGTAAAAAGAAGGAAATGCACGAGGAGAATGCGCGTTTTCCTCTCTTAGGCGAGACTTTCACTCTCTTTACCCAAATGGTTACGCAGGCTCCGAGCCCCGCTGACTGATCGCGTGCGACACACGCCCTCTTCACTCGAGCGCTTTTCATGCCTAAAAATGATGTGGTGCAATGCTACGAGTTTCCAGGTTTTCCGTGCCGTGCGCGTGAACCCTGTCTTCGCTTGTCAATGTGCTGTAACTTTTACATAAGAAAGCAGCACTTACCCAAAATATCCCAGATGAAGAAATTGTTACGGAAAAGTCGGGATGACCTAAAACCACACTGAAATACCTACAGACATAAAAAAATTAAGTCCTTTTCTCAATTCTTCACCATATAAAATTATATTTTCGGAAACTTGCAAAGACAACAAGGGCAACAGCCAAAAAAGAACCCGCGCAGAATTTAACGCTAAATCCGTTTTCCCTTACATAAAGGGTGTATCAGAGGTTCTTGACCGCTGCTTACAACATCAAGGCATACGGACCGTTTTCAAGTCTGACACAACACTTAGGTCTCACTTAATACGACCTAAAGACGTCCTGGAACCAACAAAACAAGACGGTGTCGTTTACAAGATCCAATGTGAATGCGGCAAAGTGTATATCGGTGAAACAGGGAGATCAATGCGAGAAAAGATAAAAAGAACATGACAGAGACATTGGCTTTGCTCGTACTCAAGACCTCTGCGGTTTCGGAGCACGCTAACGAAACGGGGTATATTCCTATTTGGAGCAAGGTTAAGTTTATTGATCGTGACCCCCACTGGTACACACGTATGGTCAAACAGGCTATCCATATAAGACTTCATCCCGACAACATCAATAGGAATAATGAAATCGAAATTCCCGAAGCTTGGATACCCACGATCAAACAACACAACAGCTGATCAGTGAGGACCTATGAGGGAACATCATCTTGCAACCGGAATAATAGTGAGGATCGAAAAGCACCGATAGCAGCGAACCAATGTGCTACAAATAGCGACACGTAAACAATCGACCTCATCGCCTGATGAACACTAGCAGTATTGCAGTCGAAACGTCGCGATCAACATCAAAAGTGGCTCTATCGTGAGACAAACGAATAAAGTTTATCTCCTATCTTACATCACGATGAACAATAAACACATATTTTATTACAAAATTATATTGTTATCGACAAGGAGAGTGTCCTATAATGAACAAAAATGCTTGGATTTTACCTGCTCCAATGCTTGACAGAGACCTCCATCACCACATAATAAATAGGTTAGGTTTCCTCTCTGAAACAGAATGATTTACTTGAGGTTAACACAGTTTTACCCGATGAAAGAGCGAAAAAAAGAATCCAGCACCCGAAACTAAAGTTTTAAAAAGGCAAAACGTGAAATAGTGCTACTTGACCGTCACCTCTTTCTCAGGCTTGTAGAAATGTTTCACGATGTTGTTAACGGCATCAGCAACTCGTTCTTGCACTTCCGGGATACGAATCCCTGAAAAAAGGAAAAGAAATGATTTAAAGGTCCAAATAATTGATACCTTCGACCGCTTCCTTAGAATTCAGAATCTAGGGGAGGGAGAAGGTACAACCAGGTACTCCTCAAAACAAGCGAAGTTTCTAAAATTGCACAAGTCAAGCTACATATTTGTATGGATAATAAGAAAGATTTCGATTAAACTATCGGATTCTGGATACTGGATGACAGATATTAGTTCGTGCCAACCTAATGGTATTACTGAGCAAACTGAAGCGTGCAAACATTGAGTGGTGGGTAAGTTTTCATCCATTTAAGATAGATGAACTGTTTACAACAAATTAGGTATGAAAGGTGTTAAAGAATGAGCAAAATCATGTCACGATATTGGTTGCGCATTCACGCGAAAACTGTGCAGGTTGATAAGAAACTGATGGAGTTTAAAGCACTCGGGGTTTTGTTTCTCCGGTTTCCGGAACAAGGGTATCCGTCTTTACTTAGTCTCTCTTTCCGGTAAAATCTCTTTACGCCTTGACAGACAAAATTTATCGCATTCCATAAGCACGCACCCAACAGCAAGATCATTTCGATTAAACTATCGGATTCTGGAAACTGGATGACAGATATTAGTTCGTGCCAACCTAATGGTTTTACTGAGCAAACTGTAGCGTGCAAACATTGAGTGGTGGGTAAGTTTTCAAACTTTCTTCAAACTTTGAAAGGCAAACCAACCGCCAGTTTTTTTTTGAGATGCATTATAAAATATCAACGGTCGTAATTGATCGAAGAAAAAAAATGGGTTAAGGCCCTCCGTGGACCAAGGACGTACAAAAAGTTAAGATCGTGGGAAAAAAGGAACTTTGCGATTTGGACAGAACATAGAAACTTACTTTCGCGGTTTTTCCTTGAGAGTACAGGGGATCTTCTCTGTGGAGACAAGCGACAAACTTCTGCCAGGTTTCCATCTGATAATCAAAAAATAAAAAAATTGTGATGGTGAGAAACAATGAGAGTTGTAAGTCCAAAGCAGTATAAACTCTTAACGATCAAATGAGGGCGGGATGAACTCAAAATTACCGCAGAAAGATAAGTTGGACCGAAAAAAAAAAGTCTTCTAATTGAAGCTTAACGTTTGCAGCCCACAGAATCCGGAATTCATCTGTTGGGTAACGTAAAAGACAAACTCTGCAAGGTGCATTATCCTTTGTCAATAAAAGTAACATAAACAAATAAACTGAAACACAACGGCGTATAGAATCTGGGGACAGGTCATGGTCTTCCAAAATCTAGATGCTTACATAGTTGGCGATTTTGTGTGCGGTTTATGAGAGGTTTGAGACGGAAGTGGTAAAGGTCATAAACGCTCACGGCTTCGCCTCTCTTTGCTTTAAAGCACACAAAAAAATCAAACGCCACGCAAGTTTAATTCCCGGAAGTTCCAACTTCTGGCTCTTTTGAGAATTTCAGGGTAAACCTGAAAGTGATGCAATGTTACGAGTGCAAGCTCCAGGTGGCATAAGACAACAGGAAGACTAAGAATTTGGACGCAGACTTATTCGAGACAAAGAGAACAGAAAAGAGAAATCCTTCGGGTTTACCACTGTAATCCAACGTATTACAATTCAAAGAGCATTACAGCAAAGATACAAAAAAATTGCTGTGCTCAATAGAAAAAGAAATTGGTGATATTTTTAGATACTGGTTGTATTTCTCCAAAAATTCCCTTTTGGCCATATTAGATGGGTGTGTCAGGCGATATGTACTTCCGCACACCTACATTTCCCAAAATAGCACCATTGTTTAGTCAACAATCCAGTTTGCGCCACCTCGTCATTTCTGCTTTTGGAAATTGGTGGTGAAGGGATCAAGCTTTGAGTAAAGACCAGCATTGCTTTGTCTGACGTGGGTCAGACGAGGGGAACGACAAGAAAATCCTGAAGTTGTCATTTGTTTTAATTTCAAATCGTAACTGTCAGAAAGGATTATGCCGCACGAATCCCGTTAAAAAATATATTATTTGTGCCTGAGAGTTCAGAATATACGCCGAATGAAATGCAGTATTTTATCTAGCTATGAAAAAACATAAATCATCAACTTTAAGAATAAAAAACGTAACTTATTTTCTGAGTTCAAGTTTTTTTCAGTTATCACTCTCTCTACCCCAGAAGGGACGAAAAAGAGCACCCTTGCATTTCATTTGATTATAGACTTTTTCCTGGTTTAAATTTAATTGCAGAAGCACTTGCCTCTAAGTACAGTTTTTCTCCAACTACTTTCAGGTGATGCAATATCAAATACTGATATTATTAAGTGATGTGGCACACGCATTACATCATCACATAAATATTTATGGTAAGTGTTGGCTAAATACATCACTTGGCGATTATGTTGATTTGCAAAATAACCTCATTTTTTGACGGTGCATTACTGTGCCAAACCGGAAGTCATAACATTGTAATGTTGACTGAACTAATAAAGGTTTTTTTTTTTTAAGGCAGCTTGTCTACTTAAATAATCAGGTATTTGTTTTCAAAAATAACATCACTTCACTCCAAGTGAAAGATTACCGGAGCAATATCGCATCCGTGGATAAGAGGGTCGGCTTGACTCATGTTATTCGAATGTTACAAAACTTTGTTGCATTACTTTATCAAAGTCTAATTGCTCTGTAACGACCAACACGTTTTAAATCAGATTGAGTGTGAGAGAATTCCCCACAACGCTGATCACTGTGTGACAAAAAAGGCATGACCCAGACGAAAATGCGTTACTAGCCTTTTCTGCAATGGCACAACAGACAAGACCAGTCACGCATTCTTTAATCTGTTTAGAAAAATAGAATGATGGTGTAACTGACAATCATCTCTGAAGTTACAAGGAATCCCAGAAAACGTTAAGATTGATGCAAAAGTAGACCGTATAAAGCAGTAGGATTTTTCTCAAAAAGCCACTTTACATCTTTCCGACCTCGCACGATAGCGCAGAGTCTATCATCAAACCTCGCTTTCGGATGAGAGAAGTTTTAATTCACTGCATTGGAATGATTGCTTCGAAATCTTCTCAGATATCACAATCATTCCTAAGCACTTCCTGAAAGAACAGCCCTTTATTCTTCCTAGCCCACACGAAAAAGAAGAATTGATCGAGGGCTATTGCAGATGAATGTTCTTTATCTAGTTAATAAACTGTCAGAGAAAATAGAAATCGAAAGTCCTCCTTTACTCCCAAAAAAAAATTTAAAAGTCGCCTGTAACACTTAATAAACCCAGTAATGTAACCTTAAATTTCAAACATTCTTAAGTTAAAACTCGGCTAAAAAAAAACAATTCCTGTTTGAACACTTCTACGTTCTGAATGCATGATGCTATGTTAATTCAGATTTGAACCTTGCATGTGAACAGGATTGGAAATAAAAGGGAAAAGTAGTAAGAACGACGAAAACTGCACACTCTCCACAAAATTCGACCTTGAATAATTTATTTTTTTGGTGAGATCTTTATAATTACAATGTTGTATCACTTAAATTAATCTGTACAAGTAATTTTCATTTTTACAGCTATTTACAAGGCATTTAATTGAAGTAACACAGATCCTCTACATGACTAAGTATTTTCAAGGAGTTACATGCTTTAGGAAATCTGTAATGTTCATAACTGCAAATACGCTGACTTGTCAAGTAATATCAGACCATATCACGAGCCATGAATAACTTACTTACTTACTTACTCAGCAGCGCGTGACACCGAAAACTGCCACGTGATAAAATTTTATGACACTATCTTTCTTTATTGGTATAATGTTTTAAGGATGTCGTTTAAAGAATATTTTGTCTTTTTTCCTCATTCTTGATTCATTTCTTCATGTCTATTTACAAATAAGTTCATAGCATTTTAAATAAGTTAAATTCTGAGCACGAGATTCTAAGCAAATTGCGCGCATAACCGTGGAAAGGGCGCACATGACCATGGAAAAGTGGACATTTGCTATGCCCTTAAGGCGTTGCGCAACATTGGAGCAACTCTTTGCAATAATATGTCAAGTTCAACACGAAAATGTCATGTCATGAGCGGAGACGGATATCTAATTTTATGTATTGAGCCTTTAGTCCATATACCAAACCACAAGTTCCTAACTGAAATTCCGTTTCCTCGCATTCAGTCAAATCAGGAAACTACACTTCTCTTCTTCCTTGGTCTCTCGTTCGATATACTTTGACTATTGGCTAGTGCAACTTGCGCCAATAAGGCAGTGAAGACACCGCTAACGTTCACGTTGTACTTAGCCGAAGTTTCCGCCAAAATACAGTTTTTTCCGCGAGTGAGCGTAGACGCGATGGCATGACTCACAAGCCGCTTGTCTGTTCCTGAGGTCAGATCGCACTTGTTACCAACAAACACCATGGGTACATCTTCTGTGCCTTTGGCCTCGTAGATTTCTTGCTGCAGTTTCACTGCCTCGTCAAGTGAAGCAGGATCGACAACTGAATACACAATAATGAACGCTTCTCCGTACTGAAGTGTCAGTCTTTTCATGGCAGGAAATTGATAAGAACCCGCCGTGTCTAGCACTTGCAAAACTGCGCTGACACCTTTTCTCAACTCAATGGGCCTCTCGTACAAATCTTCCACTGTTGGATTGTAGCGATCTGAAAATTCATTCTTGACGAAACGCGTAACAAGCGACGTTTTTCCTACGCCTCCCGCACCGAGGACAACCACGTTGAAAACGTTCCGTGGAAGCGGCAACGTGTCAACCGAATTTTGCCACTTTTCACCTTGCTTCTTGATTTTTGCCTTCATCTTTGTGGGCGTAATTAAACCAAATAAAGAGGCCACGATTGATAAGAACCAAACTCTCTTAGAATTCTCTCTCTTCTGATCACTCTTGTCTTTACTCGGTGATGTCCTTAACTATCTGTGATGAAATTACGCGACCTGTATTTATAGGGTCATCCAGTCTAATCTCCGCCTGTCATCTCTGTATTTTTAGCGTGGGTGAGTAATACGAGGACGGGGAAAAACGCTGAATGGCTTTGAAACGATTTATAACCCCAGAGGGAATTAAAACAGGCCGCAAGGATAACATCGTAATCCGAGACACAAAATAATGAGACTCCAGACGATAGATTTACAAATAAATATAAACTTCCCTGCATAGTTTAAAGCCGATGAGAAGGCATCAAAGTAATGTAGGTGCTATTCACACACCAATAATGCAAAACATATGACCTTATGGCGAAGTAAACGTGCAGGAAAATGAAGTGAAATGAGGTTTTTATTCATTATTTCTAAAACAGCCTCAGACATTTACCTCTCGAAAACCAGGCACTTGGCTAGGCTTTTTTCCGCTTTAATGACGTAAATGTGACGTTCGTTCACTACTTAATCGGGCAAATTTATTCAGAATTTCCACCCTTGTGGCCTATCCGCACAAAACACGACTTCGATGAGAAACATCCATTTAAGACAGACGAACTGTTTACAACAAGATAGGTATGTAAGGTGTTAAAGAATGAGCAAAATCATGTAACGATATTGGTTGCGCATTCACGCGAAAACTGTGCAGGTTGATAAGAAACTGATGGAGTATAAAGCAATCGGGGTTTTGTTTCTCCGGTTTCAGGAACAAGGGTATCCGTCTTTACTTAGTCTCTTTTTCCGGTAAAACCCCTTTACACCTAGAGAGACAAAATTTACCGCATTCCATAAGCACGCACCCAACAGCAAGATCAAGCAAGCGCGAGGAAAAAAATGAGAACCACTTCTAATCTTAACCAGGTGTTTTCCCTTGAAAGCGATCAACCCTGGATGTAATGGACTTTTGAACTTTTCTTAATTTTGAAGGTGAGAACAAGAAATCAGTTCATGAAGAACGAAAAACCAATCAAACAAACAGCAAAAAAAAAAAAAAAAAGAAAAGGAAACCAACGATATAACAAAACCAAAAAGGCAAAAGAAAACAAGAATGATTCATGACGAGGAGATCAAGAGGAACTACGAATGGCGAACGTAAAATTTCACGAGGATTTGTTTAAAAAATTTTTTTCATTGTTTTCTTAAATTGTTTTTTTGGGATCAACAAACCGTGACATGAGGGACTTCATTAAATCGCAGCCTACTTCCTTACTCTGCAGCGATAAACTTGTGACTATTTTTCCTCGCATTATTCGTTTGAAGATGAAAAGATAAAAATACGATAACCATGTAGGATATTGAGACTCCTCTAAAAAACGTCAGACTAGAAACTACATTTCATTTTTAAAACCCAGATGGCTCAAACACCATACCCTTTCGGGCAAAAGTGATCCACAAGGCTAACTATGATAGCCACCCACGATGAAAACCACTTACCATAAAAAAAAAACCAACAACAACACTGGCCCATCTTATTTGAGGAATGATGATGTAGACTTGAAAAATGACAATTACTCTTAAACAGTGTCCACAACTATGTTATCACACTCAAAACCTGGAATAAATATTCATAACATATTTGGTATGTCCCGCGCAAGTAAACTTGAACTACGTTGAGTTATTCTGGCATTTTGTTGCCAACATCGTTCAGTTTAAAATTTATTGCACAATCTGGTTCTCTTGGTTTTCAAAAGCCAACCACGTAGGATTTCTGAGTCACTGGACAGAAGATCTGAGCTGTTAAAAAGTCGAGTTGCGGGTTCCTGAACTTTTCTCAAATCTAGTTGATTTTCCGACTCTTTACACGTTTTACATGGACAAGAAATAGCATCACGTATCACTATTCCTTGCACCCTTATTAGAATTGTTTAAAAAATACCATATTTAGACACCGAATTCAGTAAAAATGATAAAAACGTATAATTACAGATGGCTGGCCGGAAGCTATAACGAACATGTTCAATGTTAAGATATCGACTGAAAAATTGCGCCACAATGGCGATTTCGTTGACAATTTAGCCGCACTAGTATTTCTTTCATTATCAAGATTGCAACCATGAATAAAACCTTTCATTCGATAATTTGATTACGAGACATACTATTTTTCGGAAGGAATTGCGAGAAGGAACAGAAGGAGACGCTAATGGTAACCTTTACTGACAGATTTTTTCAAAATCAAGTGCATCAAACTGTTTACGCTGTGTAAAAAACAAGGGGTACACCCCTTTTGAGGCATGTAGCACGATAACGTGACCCGAATGCGACGATTACACTCTAGTTAGCGCCACTGGTCAATCACGAAGTGTTTTCCAAGAAATAGGTGTTTGTATTAGTCTATGAACCCACAAGAAATGGTTGGTGATCTCTCTAGTTAAACTCAATATCAAAATTATTATTGGCAATGAAGTTGTGCCGTAGTGCATTCACTGTTTCGAAAGACTTCAAACATCACTAAACGAGTATTTCAATCGTAAGATCCTCAAGTATCACTGGTTAACTGCTCAAGGTGTTGCCAAAATTTACAGAACTTATAATTCACCTGAACGTCGCGATTGCAATGCGTTTCCTAGTTAACAAATATAAACATTTATGCTACAATTTCCCTTCAACCTAGGCATCCTCTTAACGCATCACATCAAAAATACTTTCATATCCCGTAAGTTGTAAAGATAATCAACGATCAGTAAGGAAGTGTTATATCGATGTTTTAACCTGTTTCTGCCGCATAACGAGAAGGATTTCTTCATTTTTATCCATTGCTCTCTGCGTATTTTCCTAAATAATCCACTGGGCAAAATAACAAATGATCTTCACCGAGTGTTTTTACTCTTATCATTTTCAAGAAAGCGATTCATACCTTTTGCCAAACTTATCAAGTTAGCACATACTTTGAAGATTAAATTTAAGTTACAAAAATTTCAGTTATTGCAGCAGAATTTTCATCGCAGTATAAGTGATTTACCTCAAAGAAAACAATCACCCCAATTGACCTCCAATAGATTATTTTCTTCGACTCAGTAACTAGGGCGTTAGGAAATGACATTTTCAACAAGTTTTGAAGATAAAACTCGGTTTCGTTCAGCGAAGAACAACACATTATTGACAAAAGATGGACAAGCTCTGGAATGGAATGAAGCGGAAACGTTCAGCGCATGGTATAGATTACGGTAATTTAACAGATCAGCTACAACAATAATCATATTGGCGCAGATTGGACCCATCCATAAAATCTCATTAAAAAAATGCAAGATAATCGCGCCTGTCTGACCAGTTATTGTGGTTTATCAAGTACCGCTTGTTTATATCGGCGTATGTAAGATGTTTGGAAAATGTTCATTTTGAGCCCCTCTATTAACAGAGTGTTAGCGATAACAAACAGCACGACAGTCCTAATACGTCAGAGACTGGGTCGAATCGTAGACGAAGGAGATCTCTCAGACTTAGAGCAGTTGCGTAGAAGTTTATGCATGTCGAAAAACTCAGCCTAAAACATGAAGTTTCGGTGAGGACATGTCACAATTATCAAATGGAAAAAATAGTTGGTTAGTCACGACATGTATAGAAATAAATTGCGAAACTATCTTGGAATAAGTAAAGGTGTGAAAACAAAGAAAAGAATAAACCTAAGTACATGAACAGTTTCACCGGAATGGAGTCTGTCTGAGCGAAAAAAACAAAACTGTATTTTGGCGGAAATTTCGGCAAAGTACAACGTGAAGGTTGGCGGTGTCTTTACTGCATTGTTTGCGCAGGTTGCGCTGGCCAATAGTCAAATTGTATCGAACGAAGGACGAAAGAAGAAACGAAGCGAACCTGATTGTGCAATTTCCTGAGTTGACAAAGAAAAGGAAACGATAATTAAATGAAGCACTAGTGGTTTGTTTATGGACCTTTAAGTTGCACAAGTATTAGAGATCCATCTCCGATCATGACATCACAACTTCGCACAGAACCAACATGGTATTGCCATGGGTTGCTAGAAAGTTTCGCAACTTCCTTGTGACATTACAAAAGAACACCCTTCCTCTGATATGCGCGCGATGTGCCCAGAACCTCGTAGTGACAATTTATGCTATTTAACAGAAATTGAAATGACCAGTAAAAGGTTATGAAATTAAAATGAAGAAAAAGAAAAACAAGTTTTAGCGAGTGAAAACCCAAAGGAATTCATGATTCACGATGACATAGAGCGATGCTAAGAAAACGTGGCAACTTCCGGAGTCATGTGCTTCGAAAGGTAGTTAATCATGGCCGTGTTGCAACTCAGAATATCGGTAGTCATAATTATTACAAATATTTTTATCACATGATGTATTCGTACTCATGACTTCTAAGTTTTGTAAACCCTTATATGCCGCGTATGTTCTGTGCTTTGTCAATAGGCTATAGATAGAAATTACTGATACAGTTTCATTTAAACGATGGGAAACCATAGTAACGAGGTGAAAACTTTGGTATTTCGTTGGTTTCAGTCGAGTCTTATCGGCCAAAACGAAAAGTGTTCGAAATAATAGGTTTTTGTACCAGGTTGATTAACTTTTGTATGCAATTTCCAGTATGTAAGGGCATAAATAAATATGATCATTTAACAACGAGGGGCGGTCAGTCCAGCGTCCTTCATGACCTCGGGCCGAATATTTCCCTGTCGGACCCTCCCTTATCATATATTGTAACACATACCGCAACAAATCTTACCTTCCTCAGTCCCTTTAGTCTTCATAAGCTCTGCAACAAGAAGCCTCTCAGTACTGCCGTCATCCATGTTCTTGGCGAGCCAACGCCCACACGAAAATCTGCGAAGTACGAACTAAGTTACTGTGGAAACATTCAACAAATTTAACACTAGGACAAATACGGATCCTACAATTCAGAGAAAGTCGTGCTTACCTATAAATATGCGAAGTCACTTCATTCTTGACTATGATTTGTTCAATGAACCAGCCTGGGCTGTAACCTTGGAACATCAAGGAAAATAAATTAGGATTAGGTCATTCCAAAAAAAAATTTATTTTTGGGAACTTAAATACACACGAATAAGAGGTCAACGAAAATATATGCAGTCACTGCCAACACTGGAAACAGTCTACAAACAACTCACAATGGTTTGGATTTCACATCTAAGTGGCAACAAAGGTTTTTTGAACCAATCACAGAACGTATCCAAGCAAAACAATCTGACAAAAAAATCGCTCTAAAATCTGTTTTCTCCTCATAGCAGCAAAAGAAAGGCAGCAAACATTACGTGGCTACATGGCGTTCCTTTAGCCTGGTCGAAAAACACTCATCCCTCTGACCCTAACCCTTTCACCCCTAAGAGTGACCAGCATCTAATTTCTCCCTGCTATATCTCCCCTGAATCACACATCAAGGTCACTGAGAATAAAGGAAATGATCATTAACTAAGGAAGTTCTTGATTGTTAGACAAATTCTCCTTGTCAGCACCTTAGGAAATGTATGATGAACAGTATGGAGAATATGCATACTGATATTAGGGTGTAAAGGGTGAACCAAACAAGGAATTGGGATGTAGTGAAAATACCTTTATATGGGTGTCGTTGTGTTCACTAAACTGTGGAGTTATTTCTAACTTCTCCAAGCGAGAGGTGGATATAATGCAAGTTGAAATGTTTAGACGTCAGAAGACTTATGATGCATGAGGTGAATACTGTGCCATTTATCTTACCAGTATTATCGTGTCCTATCCTGAGTGTTGTCAACACCCCCAAGTTAGCATGCTGTTGAGAAAGAATATTGATAGCTTACTGCAAGATACAAGATCTACACAACATGCCTTTCTTGAACAACGATGGAGATGGCGAGATCAATCTAGTGTTGGGGTAAAAGCGATAAAAATGTAATCGTGTTCATGCGCAAATGTGTTCTGAATGGGAGCGTTATGTCAAGGGCTCAAACGCCTAAAGGGTCGTGCAAGGCTGTATAA